GGGGGGGGGGGGGGACTACTGTTTGAGTTCCAGAGCCCAGACATGCTGAGGCCATCCTGTTCGACCTTTGCCCTTTTTATCTCCTGCTGATGACGAGGAGGACGAGGATGAGGAGGAGGACAAGGATGAAGCCGTGTTAGAGATCTCCACCTGCAGACAGTCAACATTTATTAGTATTTTTGTTATTTACTGTGGCCAAGAGAAAACATGCACAAACTAATAGGATGAGAAATGAGGTGTGTCAGTTTGAACCACACAGCACGCAGCAGGAGCTCATCGTTAGACAAGTGTGGGCCAGTTCAGCCCCCGGACATGGACAAGACAAGAACAACGACCACTCAGGGCACCAACGTCCAGCTCGCAGTAACTGACGCACTGTAGAAAACATCAGTTATAGCAAACATTCAGTCAACATTATCTATAAAGGTAAGTTGAGCCTTGAGGACTCATTTACAAGAGAGACCAGTTTATATATGAATGTGTATATATACATATATATATATATATATATATACTGTATATATATATATATATATATATATATATATATATGAATACCTGAATATATACACCCATGGTAGTATAGAATATATCTGGAAAAACTGAATAATGTTTAGATGGAAACTTAAAAATTATTAAATCGTCCTGATTCTATTATTATTATTATTATTATTATTATTATTATTATTATTATTATTATTATTATTATTATTATTATTATTGTTGGTGTTGTTGTTGTTACCAGAAGAGAAAAGCAAACTGTTGTTGTTTGGTTGTGCATGTGTTCATCTGTCATGTTCGCTAAATGTTGCATCAACCAGTGGACAGAGTTGAAAGGAAACTACACGTACAACTGAGAACGTTTTGGAGGAAGCGATTCAGGACGGCAGCAAAGTGACCTTAACCCGGTGCTTCTCAATTCTTTTCTTTTAGGCCCCCCCAGGAAGACGCAAACATTTCGTGCCCCCCCAACTCTCCACCGCGACTGTAAATAGTATCATTTGTCTATAAAATTGTTATACGTACACCTCTGTATAACTTTGTGTTCCTGTTAACATTAAAGAAAAAAAGAATATAGAGCAACTTACAACAATAACTTTATTAACTTTGTTTTTTTAGTCTGTAACAGAAACAACGTAAAGTGCATCAATTTGCCCGAAAAAAAATTAAATCTTTTTTTAAACTGTAAACATTTTTGACCGTTTGATAATGAAAAATTAAATGTAATGTAATCAATAAATAATAATGCATTCAAATTGATCAGCAACATTTTAACTCAGGTGTGTTTTATAAAACACTTTGACCTACAAAACAAAATGAATAAAACAGTTTGTGCTGTTTTTAAATCAAAATGAGGAAGTCAGGATCAATGAGCACACTCATCGATAAAACTAAAAAATGCTGTCAGCGCCCAAGAGGAAAGAGGGACAGGTAACCCTCTCACTTTGAGTTTACTCTTTGTCACATGCTCCGGAGCGTCATAAAAACAGCAGCTGAGGTGTTTGTTACAGTATTTAAATTTAAATTGTAGAGAAGAGAAACACAGCAGGAGATCAATGGTTCAGCCCTTCATGCTGCAGCACAGAGAAGAAATGTACTTCCTGATCAATGACACTGAAGCAACTGAACACTGAAGTTTAAAATAATTAAAAATAACTTTGAACACTTTATATTTTGTTATTATGATGATTTTTACGATGTGACATACTTTGAATTTTAAGTTGGAAGACAAAAGTCAGTCGGTGCATCTGGACAGCAAAGGGTTAACCTTCACAAAGCTGCTGCAGCAGGACGAGTGTGTGCGTGTCCGAGAAGGAGATCAGCTGATCAGCTGCAGGAGGGAGCTTAACCTGCACGTGTGAACTGCACACAGTGCAAATTCATTTAAAATAATTTATTTTAAATAAACAATCCATGACTCATCCATCATTCAGCCAATTGTGTAATGTCCACTCTTATTTAGAAAAACCGCGATGTAGCGAATCTGCGAAAAACGAACCGCGAAGTAGTGAGGGACAGCCGTAGCTGTAACTCAATCAAATTAATTAAAACGTGTTCTGAAAACAACTGAGACTAACAGCTTGTACAAAATCCACCCATCCGCCATCTTTACCCGCTTCTTCCTTTTTGGGTTGCAGGGGGTCACTGGTGCCCATGTCCAGCTATCACTGTGCGAGAGGCACGGGACACCTGGACATGTCTCCAGTCCATCACAGGGACACCTGGACATGTCTCCAGTCCATCACAGGGACACCTGGACAGGTCACCAGTCCATCACAAGGACACCTGGACAGGTCTCCAGTCCATCACAGGGACACCTGGACAGGTCTC